TCCAGCGCAGCCAAGTAGTCGCGTGTATGCCATCCATTTTTTCTGCTCCATCCAGCAACTGGTCGCTTCGGCGAGGACTCGAGGTTGTCTTTGTGTTTCGGATCATAAAACACTTGCGAATTGGCTTCATAATGCGCCATTTTTACACATTAAAAGCACATGAAGATTATTTTCATGGCTTTTATTTTGTGCTTTTATTGCTTCTTTATTGATATTTTCTGTCATATTTTCGTATTTAATTTTTTATGAAATATTTTATTTATAAGTACCTTTTTTTGTTAATTATTTTTAATAATTTATAAGTTCAAAATATTTTTGAAAAAGTCAATTTCAAGTCATATAACTACTCTTTTATTTAATTTTGATTATTAATTATACAGAGGTTTCCAAACGTAGTGAACTACAGCAACAAAAATTATTTTTTATATTATTTTAATTAATTAAATTTTTGGCTGAAAATACATATGTTTCGAGTGCGAAATACCCATCATTAGTGGTTTTAAAATTATTTCTTGTATTTAATTATTCGTTAATCATTTTTTGAGACTGCATGTACCAGGAATTCGTGTCCTGCTTAATTTGAAGCTCAGAGTCAGCGCTCTTTAACAAACTGACCCCAAGCCGTACTTGATTTATATTTTCGCACTTTGGAGTTTTGTTAATTTGCTGTAAAAGTTCATTAACAAATTCACTTGCTGATTATTCATAATATGTTATTTATGTTTATTGAAGGACAATTTTAGATTAAAACAAAAATTCATATTAGTTTTAGTATTAATATTTGAATTAAAAAAATCACTTTAAATAACTATATTTAAATTATAAGTTTTTGTTAACTCACAGCTTAAGAGAAATTGATACTGAATTTTTCCATTAAGTAAAATATTCCACTAGTGAATGGGATACAAACTTTCAATTCTTATACCTATAGTTACTTAATTAACAATTTTATTTTTGATTTTAGCTTGAAATTTAAGCTATAGATTTATGAAGATATGTGGTGTCAACAGAACAAAGCCACAAGTCACATAATATATTCTGTTTTGATATTGTTGATTGAGATAGTTCTCGACCATCTAATTTCACGTTTAGGTGATGTCTATTGACTAAAACAAAGATCATGTGATTTGTACCACTCGACTTTTTGGAGGTTTACAAAGGATCGTGTCTATTCGGACAGTCCTTAAAGTGCCTTTGAAGATTTGAAACTATCAGACGAACATCCGTCAAGTTCGTTATTCCTAACTAAACCGATGTTAGTAGGATAAACCGTTGCCAAGATAGATATAAATGATTCAAATGTTACAAAAACTTATAGTCCGAGTTAATACCTCTTTCTATTATTGAATCCCTTACAATTGAGTTAATAATATATTAGGGATATTCAGATATTGTTCGGTAACTTGGTAGCTTGATATCTTTGTTACCGAGCACGTCTGAATTCCTCTATTTTATACCATTCTATTATTTCTAACGTTTACTTTGTTTGTACCAATATTACTTAATACTTCGTAGATATAACTAAATTTAATTAATTGAATTAACCTTTTCTATACACAATAAACGACTAAGAAAAAGTATTATTATCATCCTTATTCAGTTTTTAAAATGATAGCGTGACTATTATTTTATCAATATTTTTAATTCTTTGATATTATTTTAATTAAGAAAATTTCGTTTTAAAACAAAAATTAATTACTACAATTATTTCACTTTTAAAATAATTTTGCTATAAATTGCAGATTTTCATAAAACTTATATTTTACCACCAAAATTCACCACTTAATGCTGGTGATTAGTTAGTGGTTAGTTTTCCAATACACAAACCGTGCAGATGGCGCTTTTTGATGCGCCAATTTTGGCTTTTTCAATTTATACATATATTTTTTATTTATTTTTGTGAAGTTATTTTCTTAATTTGTGCAGTATATTCAATAAAAAATATAAATATATATTAGATTAAATCGCTTCTTAACTGTTAGGCATCAAATCATGTAAAATAGATGCACTAATATTTTACTATATTGAAATAAATTTAGCCAATATTCTAACCAAACATTGACAGAACTGCCAGGTTATAAATTTGAGTGTTTTTTGAATTTTACATGAACAGCTAAAATTTTGGATCTTCTAGCTTCGTCTAGTTGCCACTTCTAAAATAATGGAAACAATATTACTCACAAGTTAAAAACTAGGTGAAGGATCCCATAGCGAACTCAGAAAGAAGAACACATGAAGTGTATTGCCTCGGTCCACCTTATGAACTTTAATAAATTTAAATTTCAGAAAATAAGTGAAGATTTATATTTTGTTGACAAAATAAATTCATATATACCACAAGCAATAGTATCACCATTAAGAAAATCTCTCCCAATGAACAACAAACATCGAAAACATAGCTGTTTTATCTACCATATTCACCAAAAAGAAAATTTAGATACAAAATTTCCGAGTCCATCAAATTCGAATTGAAGATTTCGACGAACGGAAGGTCAAACATGCCATACACTCGTTACGTGTCATACAAAAGAAAAGCTGCTTAATAGTAATGATCCGCTGTAGTACCCGGTCGTCTCTACGTCAGACCTGAAGATAGCATCACTTTGAAAGTCAAAACATTCCCTTTCAAGTAGAAGGAAATCATCCTGATGAGTTTATAAACTTGGCTTTTTTTAGTTTTTCTATGTTAAGATATTCTTCATTAAAAGACATTATGTCGTCATCAATTTAAAAGTTGACTTTTACTTAAGTCATGTACAACTATAGGTTAACAGGACCCACGTATAATACAACTAGATACTGGAAACTTCGCAAAACAGATCGTGTAAAAATTGCAAGGCTTACTTAGTTTCTTCTAGTCATTCAACGAAACTACGCATTTCTCATAATCCTCACTGCGGAAATTGTGGAAACCTACAGAAAAAAAATCATAACATAGTTTCTCCATGAATGTCTTGCTTTGGCGTCCAGAAGAAATAATTTTTTAGAAAGGTATTTCTTTGACAGTTTATTAGACTGTTGATCGATAAAGACGAAAGAACTATTAAATTAATAATTATAATATTCAACGGGATGGACTCAGTATATATTCTTCTATCTTAGGAATTTTTTCGAAGAATGTTGAGATACATGGAAATGCCCTGGTACTGCAACCAACCAACCAACCAGCATTTGCTTTTGAATGTTCGTCTTGTGTACTCGTATGCCACTAGTTCCAAATTCTAACAATTCAGGAGTTAAATCTAATATAAGAACATTTCAGTATTCTACTCATAAATTTCTATTCTATTTTATTCTACTCAGTAAAAATTACATACATATAGATGAATCTAATACACCCTTTGAGTACACTTCTGTTCATTTTTAAAGTATGGTATTATCTGATATTCAATACGTGAAAAATTCTATAATAACTTATGTACTTGTGTTGGACAATATTTTACAATAACGTTGAGTCTCTATTTGGATAATCACCGATCTGTTGATAGGAAATTGGTTGTTCTCTTGAAAGTTTTTACTTTATCAAAAAATTTGGCAATTTCTGTCTACCTGTACAGACAACTCAATTTAAAGCATTTCATAAAGAAATAAAAGTTGTCTTAAACATATTGCACAGGTTTTATATTTAAACATTATGAGACTATACAAGTTAAACATCTGTATGGTTCCTAAAGATACTGAACATCGCAACATACTACATAATTACAACCCTATCAGCAATCATTAATGAGTATAAAAATTACTGTACATATATCCACATCTATCCTCACCTAAGCATGTTCTCAAATTTTAAATGAATACCTAAATTAATTCGTCTTTAGTCATTAGTCTTTTTCTGAAAGATATTAATTAAAACTCAATAGTGCTGGATCTTTATTCAATATATATGGTAAATATAAACATTTGATAAAATTCGCCATTAACGGTCGTGACTGCTGTAGGTCTTTTTTTAATAAAATAATTTCATTAGTGAATATAAAAAGCTGTTGGTACACAAATGTGCTTAATGCAAGCACGTTTGAAAGACCAATTTTGAAAATATATATAAAATAGTACTACCTTTACTAAAAATATACGATATAAATAATTGAAGCGTGTTAATCTATCATTCATTTATCATCTGTCATTGATTCAGTAGTAGACAGTTCATAGATTTATTGCACCATATCTTATAGATACTTATAGATATTCTAACGGTATACCAATTTTTAATATCTTTCAAAAATAAAGAATTTCGGTAGCTATAACTTTTTCAAATTTAGAAGTAGAAGTAAAAAAAATAATGTATGGTATACCATACCCCAGTTTTCACTATGCATTACCCCTGTAATTTTTTTCTATACTCGAAGCTATGGTACCATTTCGAGGCAGATGTTTCGAGTTGGTTGTGACCATAAAAGTAAAATCGCAAGAAGCCAAGGCAATACCTAATTCAGCCCACTTTCAAGACGGCAGAATATCGTAAATTTACCTATGGCTCTAAAAATATTTAATCGTTGAAGTTATTTATTTTTGATTTATTCAATTTTAATTGGATTTCCGACAATATTTCTACGAACAACTAAAAATAAGAGGGTCAGCAATGTTTACTTATTACACAAAATGAAAATCATGACAAAACTACATATTTTTATTGTGTATATAATAAATATAGTGCTGTCAGTTATTCATTTTATATTTATATATGATGACTATATATGTGATAATGTAGAAAATATATGAATTATCTTGCACTAAATTCATTGATAACCGCTTTGCAGCTCATCCCAACAGCCTGCATGCAAATATAAGAAATAGAACCGCAGAATGGAATCAAACCGAAATAGAAACTAAAGAAACACTATCAACAGTCGACCCAGCCTTCATTGGAAGCTTTGAGTTGAAATCTGTTGAGGCGATAAAATTTGAACTTTATGAAAAGTTTAAGCACTTTATTAATTTATTCCGAGTATTGCTCTATAATTACTAAACAAATTAATTTAGTTTTAGTTTTTAGCTCGAATAGTGAACATGTTAAAATCGCGCTTCTTTAGTCTCGCCACTTTTTGTTGCTTGTTTTTCACATTAACTTCTTGTCAACGATATCCGGATCAAAATTTGGACTTGGACTATGAATATGATCAATGGCCGTATCCTTCAAATAATCATCCACTAAATATAGACAACAATCGTAATTTGTATCGTCCTACGCCAGTACGTCCACCACCACCACCACGCGATCCAAACGTAATTGTGGTGCCGCGTTTGGGTGAAGTGCGTGGCAAAGTTGGTTATAAAGTGATTAAAGGACGTTCGATTAATGCATTTTTAGGTTTAAAATACGGCGTCGTTGGACCAGGCTTAGGACGTTTTCAAGTAAGTAACAGAAAGTCCAACTCTTATTTTTTTACCGTGCACATTAGTGTGATTAAAGGGTTTATGAAATTGTTTAGAACGTTTAGGACGTTTAAAATGCAGCAAAGTAAATATTACAAAATTGGGCATATATTCTTAAGCAACATGATAAGATATAACATCTATCTGTTTAATAATATATCTGTCTGCTGGTCTCTCTATCCCCGCATCCATTCTACATGGTATTTCAAGTTTGAGCTAATAAAAAGTGACAGGGGTTTTGTGTGAATCAAGTACCTCAAATTTATAATTGGTGGACTACATCAGTTGGCATTAAAAAATTGTAAATAAAAAATTAATCAAAATATATTAAAATATTAAATATTATTAAATAAATATAATATAAATATATAATATATAAATATATGAAAATATTAAAATATAAATATTTTAAAAATATTTTTTTTAAGGCCAAAAAAATGTGGAATAAAAATATTAATTATCTAATAAACTTTTATAATTAAGTAACATAAATTTAAATGATTTATTTAAATAAGTTCAATTTTTTACCAATTTAAAAAAAATATGTTTACCTATATACATACATGTGTATTTATTCAAAATGTGTATTTAAAAACAAACAAGGACTTAGCTTAGTTTGATCGTATATGTACTGAACTTCCTTCTTCCTTGAAATTGGAAGAATAATGCCCAGGAATAATAATAATGAATAATTCTCAGGAATAATGGCCCAAATCTGTATAAAATTCTGTTATAAAATTCTGGTGTCGCTAGAAATTAATAATTATCGTAACTGACATGGCTTATGGGATCAGATTAATCTAACCTAACATAGTTTCATAAAACTATTTTTCTCCTATTTCTCGTTAAACATTGTAAATGCTTTCAAAAATGTCTTCATAATTATTTAAGATCATAAATAATGTCGATATAATTAAGCGGCCCAGAAGTCATACTAGTTGGAAGAAAATTTTTTGAAATTATTTATTTTCATCATAAGGGGAACCTAATATTTATAACGCATTTTTCTTCATAATTCTTTAATTTCTTAAACCCTAAAAATATTTCATTAAGGACTTTAAAACTATGCACCTCTTCATTCAATGAGAATTTTAACATTACCATATTAAGTGGATTAGTTCTAAACGCAATTAATGAATTTTAGCCAAGTCAAATTCTAAAATACGAGCCAGTCTTAAAAGTTGTCTTCGCCAAATAACACTTTTTTCTTGTAAATATGAGGATATATTAAGCTTCAGTTGTTATCATCACCCTTATCATCTCCAAAAAAGCAGCTATAACATTCCCGCAGATACTATATAATTTTCTGAACTATTTTAGCTTTTCTATTTGATTATTTTGAATAACGTTTAGTCTGATAACTATAGTAGAAGTCCAATTAAAGAAACAATTTCTTATACAGTCCGATCCTTAAATTGAAAAATTCTCTTAATAATGCTCTTAATAAATCAGTTATGAATTTTTTAAAATATTATTTGAATAGCTGGATTTCGGTTATTTCTTGCTACTGTTTACTAATTTTTTATACGATTCTATTTGTAAACCCAGAAAAATAGTTTGGTTAATTTAATCAGATTTTAACTAAATCTCAGGTCAATATATTCTTACTCTAAGCATTATGTTAGTTCAACCATACCACATGTTGGTTTACATATCTTCTTTACCACATGAAGATATATACTATATATTTATTTATTATTATTTATTTAGTTATTTATTTGTTTGAAAATGATTTCTGAACTAAAACATCTGTTCACTCATAAATACATTTATTAAGATTACATCAAAACCCTGTTATCGCAATTTAAAAGTTGATTTTGATATGAATCTATTCTCAAACCTTCTCATTATTATAAGATCAATACCTCTTCAATCTTTAAATATATGTATTCATACAAACTAGCACCGTATGTTTCTATTTTCAATAAACATATTTTTTTTTTGTTAGAAATATATTTTAGATAAGTCAAATGTCTCTTGTGATAGTGTTATCACCGATCGTTTTTTGTATTTGTAGTTGTATGAAATTAAATATAATTAATTATTTTTTTAAATGCATACTTTTGTTATTTTTATTTTTGACCCAGAATAGTTGTTGCAATCAATATTATTTTACAAAGATGTGTTAACTGATAATTAACTCAACAGATGGATTATAATATTTTATACATAGCTATATGCCATCATTTCCTAGAATAACTAATGCTTAGATGAGTCTTTTTAAGTGAATAAAGTGTTTGGTAACTTTTATATTACTTTTGGGAAGTAAATATTAAATTTTAATTAAATATATTTAATAAATATATTATAAATTAAATAACATATCCCATCTTTTAAAAAATTCAAAAAAGAAATTTTTTGCTACCAGAGACTATACGAAGGCTACCTTTTCAGTCTTGGTTAATCAGTGAAAATGGTTTTATTGTTTTTAGAAGTCTTCTCCATGATGATCAATACATTTTCGCATTCGATTAAACTAATTTTCGAGACAGTTTAGCCACTCTGAAGTTGGTATCTTCAAAACCAGGCTTTTGAATGTCTGAACGGGCCTATTTGTGCATAGAAAAACGCTCGCCTCACATGTTTGAGAACAAGAAGAAGTAATAAGGAGCCAGGTCGAGACTGTCAGGTATATGATCCTTTGTTTAAACTCATATGTGGATGTGCTCACATTATCTTGGTGAATGATGATCTTACTTCGACAGCTGGTTTTACTCAAGTATCCAACGACTTCTGGCTAAGAAATGGTTGTATACTACTCACAATTGACCATTTTACGTTCTTTTATCGGTACAGTTACGACATGACCGGATTTTATGACCAAATATGCGACCATTTGTTTGGATTTGCTCCGTCCGCTAATAACTTCTGTCGGTTTATGTTCACTCTGAAATACTCAACTAATGGATTGCTGTTTTGTTTCAGGTTCATAAGTATGGATCCCTTATACATCACCTGTCACTATATGGTGGACGTGTTTTGAACTACCTCGGCATTTTTTTAGCATTTCCTTGCATCAATCAACACGTAAATTCTCTTAAGTGATTATCAAATTATGAGAAATTCATCAAATCTTTTTGGCAGTCAGATCCAAATCTACATATATGAAAAGCAAATTTATATGTATGCCAGTTTTGACATTCATAAAAATTTTGGGTTAGTGCTGTTATTTGCTAAGCAAAAAATTTGTATACGTTTTTATTCTTTTTGTGTTAAGTCACCAGACTTAAGTATGACTCGAGTGTAGAGTACTTATTGCAGTTCTCTGGTCTATATAATAGAGGCCTATTTTATTAATGTATAATCTCATAATTGTCTCGTACTGTAATTGTTTAAAAAATGATTGAATCGCATATCCATATATGTACAAACTTTTATTTGGTTTGTAATTATAATCATATATCTATTTTAAGTTGCAACTTGCAACCAATCGTATTTCATGGTTTCTTAAGCTTAATTAAATTTTTCTTACAGTCAAGTAGGAATCTGTAGTGGTCACATCATAATTTTTTGTAATCTTGAAAGAAATTTCATATATTATGCCACCACCATATATCATTTGTAATATCTTGTGTGTTTTATCAATAAAACTAAAAGCACTTGGAGATGTTGAGGTTTTTTATTCTAGCAAAATATAGTATACCGCACTTGGACTATAAAACCTCTTTGTATTACAAGTATTACAGCGTCTATTAATCAGTAAAATTTTACAAGAGATTTATCATTTTTAAGTTTGAACTGTTTTTTGCAACTCGATTATATATTGTTTCTATTTCAACAACAAATAATTCAACGGATCTTGACAAAATTTCCGTGATCGGCATATTCTTAGAAACATAGCATCGTAATTTTTGTAAATCTGGAAAATAAATCCATACTATCACCCTAAAATTATTTTATAATCCTGCTATTTTGTCTGTATATCTGGTACCAAAAATTGAATAAATTACCCAACAAATTACATAGATCTGTAGAATAGCTTAAATACAGTAATTGTGGTACTCAAATAAACATATAATTAATTTATTTTTCTATGTAAACGATAACGGTTTTTATTGAAACAATAAAGACAAATGAAAGCATATATATTATATTAAAAATTAACACTTCACACCACTTATAAAGATAATCCTAATGTTGACCTCTCATGAGCAGAGTAGATCATATTTTCTGCTATTTATTACATATATTATATACTATACGTGTGTTTCGCATTGTATAATACATAACATCAATTCTGCTTAGTTTATAAAATTGTGTTATATGAATTTATGTACAGAAAGCTTCTGTTCCTGAAAGCACTAATAATGACGTAATAGATGCAACAAGAGAACCAGCAAACTGCCCACAATTTCCTGATTTGCGTTTGATAACACAGGCCGAACAGAGAAGAGAAAATGTGGATGATTGCTTAACACTCAATATTTACACCCCAAATGTAAGTCTATTTCACAAAATTTTTATCCAAAATATATATTTATATTAAATGCAGAAAGCAGGTCAATTTCCGGTAATTGTGTTTGTACACGGTGAAATGTTATTTGATGGCAGTGCCGCTGAAGGTCAACCTGACTATTTTCTGGAACACGATGTAGTACTGGTAACCATTAACTATCGCTTAGCACCATTTGGTTTTCTGACCACTTTAACAGATGATATGCCCGGCAATGTAGCACTTGCAGATATACACATGGCCTTGGAATGGGTGAACCAATATATACGTCCTTTCGGAGGTAATGCAGATCAAGTAACATTAATCGGTCAAGCAGGTGGAGCAACACTGGTTCACGCTTTAAGTTTAAGTGATAAGGTAAAGTTAATATCCAATTTTTCACTCACAAGATGATCATTTACTATAATCACACAATTCTTCCTTTAGGCACTTGGTTTGTTCCACAAATTAATTTTACAATCCGGCACAGCATTGAATCCCTATTTTTGGGATGAAGATCCACTTAACACACTGAAAAGTTTTGCTAGATTAGCAAGTTGCCCAGTAAGTAACAGTGACAGAAACAACACTTACTTGATAAATTGTCTTCAGCATATGACAACCACTAATCTATTGACTACATTCAAAAACCATTGGGTATGTTCTATCACATAATCAAAGTAACTAATTGCTCATCCAATTGAAATTATGTATAAATTGCGTTTGTAGGAAAGGTACGAACCATACGGCACAAGAATAACAGGAGGCTTTAAGTTGGTTGTTGGTGATAGATTAGGATACATAACACAGAGTCCTGCAGCACTTGTTGCCAATAATATGTATCCAGTGATTATGGGTGTCACTAAGGATGCAGGCGCATTTATTTTGTCAAGTTGGTTTTTGCATATACATATATCTGTACTTCTTAAATAAATTTTAATTATTCTCATTTCAATAGGATTTTATAATCAATTGGAACAATTGCGCTCACGCAACATAAGTGACTTTATAAATGTCGTGCTTAAACACACAGCACAACCACGACATCATCAATTGTGGAAGAATCTAGCATTGCAGCAAATATTTACAGAAGAAGATATACGTAATCCTAAGTTATATAGCATAGCACAAGGATTACTAGAGGTTTGTCAGTAGTATTTTATTTTAAATACAATGTATTAAACAATTTTTTTAGCTAACAAATTTAATTTTGTATCGCGGCCCTATTATTGATTCTATACGTTACACATATAGAAAGTATCCAACTTATTTATATTGCTTTGATTATCGTGGCGAGTTTCATCGTTTCGGACATCTACCAAATCCTTTACCATATCAAGCTGATGCAACACTTAGTGATGATAATATTTACTTATATCCTTATCCGCAAGAAGTAAGCCAACTTAACGCAAAGGATAAACAAATTGCTACTGCTTTAGTTAATATGTGGGTTAGCTTTGCCGAGTATAATAATCCAACACCACGTAATACAAATCTTTGGCCAAATGTAACTTCAGACTACGGCCCATTTGTGCGTATTTCGAATGTTAATGAGAACTCATTAGAATTGGATTATCATTTTGGAGAAGGAATACCAACACCCAATTTATATCCTGAATATTTTACAACCACAACCACTTCGACAACTCCAAGAACCACTACAACTACTACCACTCAACGTACTAATCCATACTATCCTAATTATGAAGGTTATCGGCCGCCTCTCTACAACTATCCAAACTCAAACGACTATTCACAGAATAGAAGACAAGACTACGAACAACCACATAATGTTCCATATGACCGCAATCGGTTTGGCTAAACTATTTGAAGCATAAAACACAAATTATTGTTCATAACATATAATATTATTTAAAAAATATAAATTAAAATAAATAAGAATGAAATGATTTATATAATGTTATTTAAATCTGCGTACAAAAATATTTCTAGTAATATTATTATTAAGAAAAAGGATGGTGCACTGCGACCTATAATATTTATTGTGCCCCTTAGTTGGATTAGAGAGTTTCTTCAAATCGGGAAGCGTTTGCAAAAACATTGCCAGTACTCCTGGCAATGCTTGGTGCGGAGCATATTGCTCATTCAGCGTGAAAGTGTCCCATTGATTCCTTTTCTACAAAGAGTTGAGTTTATAACCTCATGCGATGTATTATAAAAGACTCCTTCAATATCTAAGAAAGTGCAAATTGCTATTTTTTTCTGATCTATGTTGTCCTGAATCGTGTTACTTTGTTGATGTAGGGCCGTTTCTGTCAACTGACCTGCCCTATAGGCATGTTGGCACTTGTATCATGAAGTTACTTAAAATGTAGTATTCCTCATATAGTTATTCACGACTTTTTCTACTACTTTAAGCAGGAAAGTTGTAAGGCAGATTGATCTAAAGGATTTGAAGTGCGTTTCTAACTGTTAATAAAAATATTATATTTAAAATTAACGAAGCAACTTATAATAGTAGTGACTTCATTATTTTATTTTATTTATAAACCAGTAAAACTATATATGAAGCTACAGCTAAGGCAATTTTGTGAGTTGCCGAAGGCTTAGACTAATGCTATTATTAGTTGCAATACTATATTACAATATGATGTAACATATCTTAGCATATCATAATATATCATATCATAAGCAATTCGTAATACTTATGATATAATATAATGTGATATAATTTATCATTTCATAATATTATATATCATATTGTTATAATAAATGCAATCTTTAAATCTATTGATTTAAATCATAGCAATCTAGCTGAAATCATTTAAAATTTGAAGTGTTAAAGTCAAGCAAGAGTTAACCCACATATAATATTCGAAGTACTTCTGAAATAGATCACTCTCTTACTAAATGAATAACATCACCTTTTAGGTACTTTAAGATTGCATATAGTGCACAACGTGTTTTGCTGAGGGTCTTATGCGAAACGTAGCACAGATGTGAGAGCTACGGATGCATGGCTTTATAAGATTGTTGAAATCGTTTCTACATCATATTATTCTAGAAAATGACTCCCAGACTATAATTGAAGACCAAACTTAACATAATCCCTTCTGTAGTCGGAATATTGACTACAGAATGCATAGTGAATGCATATTTCAAATGCATAGTAAAGCTACAGCTGAAAACCCTAGAATATAATTTATATAAAAATGACAATTGAATTAGTTTTTAAAATTCAATGAAATTTTAATAAATTTAATTAATTTCATCAATTGAAGACCACATCTATTGGTAATTGTTTTATTCATCATGATGAAATCAGTTATTTATTTTAAAGTAAATATTAAATAATAATACATATCATAACAATTTTTAATAGTAATTTAATAATAATAATTTTTTTTTTCTAATAATAAATATAAATAATTAAAATAATCAAACTAATAAATTATATTCATTATTATATTATGTATAATGAAACTTTATGGCAATTGTTTCATATAATTGTTTCATATATTTAATTTTCAAATAATTAAAATAATACTAAATAAATGTGCAAAGTAAATAAATTAAGAACTAAATCAAATGGATCAAACATGAATAAAAGTAATGAAAAGATCTATATCATTTTATTATTAAAAATTTGTAAAAATGAATTCATTCTCACATCAATAAAATAGTAAATGCTTAATTTCGGTGAAAGAATGATAACCGATATATATCACATGCTATCGTCGTTGGTGGATAAAACTAAAGAAGTCATAAACTTAAGCTGTATAAATAACATTAAACTTAAATAAAGTAGTGATAACCGCAATTTCGAAATGAATATGGCACTGGAACGAAAATATCAAGTCAAATCATTAATAACGATCAATTTGTATCCTTTTATAGCGATCTCGAGATATCCATCCAGTGACATATGGGTTTTGTTACACTAAAATTCAAAGGATTCAATAATATATTAGTTCTGGCCTTAGGTTATAACGATTTTTTCTCGTTATACAAGCGACAAGTGAAATGAAGATATTTTACTTAATATTATAAGAAATTATTAAATATATATTATTTTAAACATATATGTATATATTAAAATCATTCTTCAGCAGTCTTTTTTCTGTTAGGAGCATTCTAAGAAAACTTATTACTTAAGAAACGATTCGTTGTTTTCTTTTCTGTTTAAATTTCTTCTAGAACAAATATAAAATTGGTAAATAAATATATAAAATTGAATAAATTGAATAATTGAAACAAATGATAAATATGAACAGTATTTTCTGACTTCTATTTTATTTGTTTAATTTATTTATAAGTGAACAACAACTATTAGTTAGAACGTATAAATTGATCCGATCTCTTCTAAGTTGTTATAAAAATATTAAGACTATAATCTGAAAAGTATTCATTGGCAAATCAATTAAAATCAATTTAAATAATTAAAGCAACACAGAAGATATTTCTCTTATTAAAAGATAAATGAAATGCTTAAATAAATTTTTTAAGGTTAACAATAGTACATACTTTATAAAGGTTCCTCTGGTTTTCTGGTACGTACTTATCTGAAGTAAAGATGCTATGTTAAAATCCCTTACAGAAATTATATATTATTGCTTTGTAAATAATAGAAATTCTTGAAAAACTAAAACTATATATGCGACTTCTGCAAAATATGGTAGCAATTAAATATATATTAACATTTAAATTAGCTATCTTTTCTTTTATATATAATTAAATAAGTTTATTTTTCTTTAATAACCAAACAGATGCATTAATAAATGCACTAAGTACACAATAAGTTAAATTATTTAACTTTGTTAAATATATTTATTCACTTTAAAAAACCAGAAATGTAAACCAGATTCTCGAGATACTTTCATTAAATCTATATGGGAAATATTCTTATACAGAGCGCCATAGGCAATCATATTATACAGTAGCATTATAATTTTTAATTTAATTTTTTAATGTTTAAAATTGAATTAAAAATTAAAATCTTTTTAAAACAATTTCAGTTAATATAATTAAATTTTTATTTTATATTGATTTCATATTTATATGTGCGTATAATATAATATACTATATTTTTTTATTACTAGAAAAACTATAAGACAATTCATTCCTATCTAGATTAATAAAAAATGCATATTAATTACTTTACTCAGTTAAATTTATATCAATTACGAATCTAATGACGATATAAATAAAAAAATTAAACAAAATAATAAAATGTAAAATTTGTTTTTCTTTTCATTTGCTTTGATCATCAATCCAAATAGTTGTGAAGAATAAAAAAAATAAATCAATTAAATAAAATAACAAAATTTACGGTTATACTTATAAATTTGTATAGTAACTCTGTGCATAAATATTTTAATTATAAAAAATAAACAAAAAAAATTTGGAGATGCCGGGGATTGAACCCGGGGCCTCTCACATGCAAAGCGAGCGCTCTACCACTGAGCTACATCCCCTGTTGGATAATCTAAACTCAATGCACATCAGGTTCTCCGAGAAAATAAATTTACTTCAATTTGATTGACGAATTATTTTTATTTTTCGTGACCTACTCAAACACAATTCAAATTATTTCTCAATGTTTCCAAAATTATTTGAAAATATTTACATACATTTATGTATGTACATAAGTACTTGAATACAAGTAGATAATATTAATTTAATTTGCTTTAAATCACATTTAAAAAAAAAGATTTTCATTTTATAAAGTAATATGTTGAAATACATATGTATCTTTTAACAAATATTTACGTATATAACATAAAAGAGTGTACATTCATTTTGACCATGAGAGTCACTCCACACTACAAATATGAACGTTATTTCTTTTTCTTCCAAGTTTTGCAAATACTTACTATACTTAAAAATTTTTACTAAATATTTAAATATTTAATATTACTATTAAAATTTAATATTAAATTAAATATAATATTAAATATTAAAAAAGGTCTAATAAGCTTTTAGTATTAATTAATATAGAAACTACATTAAAACATTTTTATACAATTCTGAAATTGCATTTCTAAATAAGGAAATATGTGTATGTAACATAGTATGGTCAGTATATATTGTTTTGGAATTTTTATAAATATTCATATATACATGTTAAGAGTATTTCAACCCTAATAAATGTATTGGCAGTGCCGTAGCAAAATGAATATTGTTAGTTTTGTACCTAAATTTAATTATGTTACATGCTGAAAAACTATAATTCTCATTGACTTGATAAATGTTCTCACTTATATAGTCATTTTCTGTATGGCAAAGTTATCGCTTCTCGGCCTTATGGCTAAGATCAAAGTGTAGTATCTGTTCTTATCAGCTTAACATCTGATAGATCCTCCATCGGAGGACAACAAATGTTAAACTGATTTTTGGAATCAGATGGAGTGTTTAGGGGCTTGCTCCACCTCTGTCGCGGGTTGGCCCGGTATTGCAGTACAGCCGGGATACGGCCCAATTATTAATACATTCAAAAATTAAAATCAAAGTTAATTAAGATTGAGAAAAAGTGATGAGTGAATTCACTTTCAACTCAAATTATTTGTACATTTTTGATACATACAGTTTCAAAGATGCAAATAAGAACGCAAGGAGTATTGTGTTGTCATTTTGAAGCTATAGTAAGTTGCACACATATGGCAATAGGTTTTTAATTATTAACTATAATTATATTGGTAAAGTTTTGTTAGACAATCCATTATGGAAAGCAGTGTGTATAGCTTGTCTTTATGTTAGGATGTTGAGAAGAATTCAAACGCATTTTTGCGATAATCTTATAATACTTTATAATTTAAAGTGGATATTTATATATAATTTTATTTTAATCAAAACTTCTTTTACAATATATGATATGCACACAGCAGAAAAAGTATGCGGTCACCCACAAAATTTATTCTT